CACACCATTAACCAGAAACGCAGAAGCAATAGAAGATGAATATGATATTTCAACACCACAACAAACGGCAAGGCAACACGAAGGGATGGTAGATACAAGACTGCAAGAACTAGCAACAGCAACAAAAGAAAGAGTAAATGAAGTGAGTCAAGCAATGGCAGCAAATTTAAGAGATATGGGCGGAACAATTTTTCAAAGAATGCTAGGCAATAGACAATCAGCACCATCAGCAACAACAAGAACAGTACCAGATAATCTCCCAGTATTAGAATACGAAGGTTCGCAAATTTCAGGCGGAGATGATGCCCAAGTAGAATATCAAGCAACGGGAGCGTCAAGTTCAACGCCACAACAACCACCACCATTGCCAATGACGCCATTATTTAAAACAACAATAGATAATACTATTAGTCCCACTTACTGGAAAGACAACCCTAATTTAACAGCAAATGATATTAAATTTCAATTTTATTTAAGAGGAATTCAAGTGCCAGAAGAAAGCGAAATACAAGAAGAATTGAAACACAAAGGCAGAGGCAAGGCGAGAACATACAAAGAATATTTAGTAGATATGATTTTAGATACTATTGATAATGGCGGGTGGATAGTAAATTTAGGCAAAGGTAGAATAGAAGAACTCAAGGCAAGTTTTAAAGGTAAAGGAAAGAAATAATATAAAATAATTATAATGATAATATTAACTAAAAACATACTGAAAAGAAAGAAGCAAAAGTTCAATGATAAATATGATCACGACAGTTTTTCAATACAGAACCCAACAAAATCAAACACTTCAACAACAATACAACCACCGAAATTGATCAAAAAGGGCACGCCGAGAGAGTTTATTGACATTGCAACCAACACAGATACAATCGCCACAGAAACCAGAGAGACTCAAGAAAAGTTATACAATGATGCAAATCAACCATTAAATATGACATTTGAAGCGTTTAAGGTAAAGGAAAACCAAGACAATATGTTTAAAATAATGCTTAAAAACTTTTGGCGCAACACACACAAGAGAAATGAACCAACAAGAACACACGCAACACAAACACTGAAAAACCAACGCGACGCGATGGTGTCAGCCTTTACTAAAATGCTCGACAACAACAAACCGCCAGAACCACCGCCAAAGAAACCACCAGATGAGGATGACAGCGATGAAGAAGAAAAGAAGTTCAAACTGACAAAAATGATAGAAATAATGCTACACAACGGCGCTACAGTAGCAGATATCATATTAAACTTATCGCACAGCGCAATTGCAACAACTATAAATATCGCAGATTTAGTTAATCAGATAACAGCAGGACATGCACAAGGTAGCAGTAGCAATTCATCAAATGAAGCTATTAGTGTTCATAGTTCTCCACCTATTACTGTTCATAGTTCTTCATCTGAAAGTCCAACAGAAATACCAGCACCAACTGAAGACGAAGAAGAAGAAGAAAACCAACATTTCAATTTTGAAAAATTAAAATCTAAATAATATTATATATAATGGGTATTGGTCAAAGTAAAAATAATGAAAATAATAGGTTGGAAGACATTAAGAATTTAAGTATAGATGAAAAAACACGAGCAGACACTTTAATTATTAAATCTCTTCAAGAATGTGTGGCACGAATTGAGAAACTAGAGAAAGAAAAATCTGACAAATTAATATATAAATTACCTGTTCAATTATGTAATTATTCATTATTTTGAATTAATAACATTAAGCCAATGGCTTAATGCTATTAATTACTATCATAATCTGTCATTTCACTTTCGGGTAATTTTGTTGAGGCGTTGCTACATCTATCATCTATTAAATCTTCTCCATCAACAAAATTATTTTGAAATCTTAATAATTCCTCGTCTGTTGGTCGTCTTTTTAACACTTTATAAAGTTTATGTATCCAAGAATTAGTATGAAAATTATAATTACCTCTACGATAAAATCCCCCACATCTACATAGTTTCATTGACATATTATTATACTATATTAAATTAGAATATCTTTATTCATCATTCGTAATTTGAAACGCCTGTTCAAATCTGATATGAAACATTTTGTTAATGTCTTTAGCATTCATATTCACGTAGAAGAAACTATAAGGTGCGTCATTAACGGCTTGATGATACATATCTAATAATTGCTGTTTATCAACAATGGCGCAATTTTCTTCAATAAAACTCATTAACTCACTTGCATTTTTCAACCTAAAAATATATAATGAACTGGCATTTAAACGAATGATAGGCGCTAAAACATTATATTTTTGTGTTGAACAAATTACACTTACTGCATCGTGCCTACCTCTTGTAAATAATCCATGTAATAATTTACTATATCTAACAAATTTAGGATCGTCTGCGTGGTCATCTATAACGATTATATAATATTGAATGCAGTTTCTTTATCTTTTTAGATTTCATATAATTAATTATTTTCTTCTGTCTTTCAATTACATTTTCTAAATCACTTGGATTATAATTATCAAAATATATTTGTTCTTTTTCATCATCTACGTGCAATTCATCCCTGATGTATTTTTTAACTTCTGTAAAAGTTGGGTCATTATGAACGCTGGGGGAAAATATAAATATTCTTGCAAATGAATTTCTATAAACATTTAAAATAAGATTCTGAACTAAAACTGTTTTTCCCCCCGTCGAACTCGCAACTATAATACTTCTAAATGGTAATTTTGGCACGTGCTCATATTTAGATTGTTTGAATTCATATTCAGTTATGTTTATTGGTTTTATTATTGGGACATCTGTCATAGTTGATATTAAAGAAATATAGAAAATTATATTTAAAAATTAACTTGTAATTAATATTAAATGGACGCGAGGAACGAGCCTCGCGTGCTAACGCGACCATCATTATGTTATGAGTGGCGGTGAATAACATAATGGAACAGGTTTTCCATTGCTTCAATCAATAAGCATTGAAGATAATTAGTTTTGTGTCTTGCTCGCGTGTGCAAATGAAAACCCAAGTGCTGTGCCCCACCAATATTCTATTATGCATGAAAATAATAAGATTAATTAGAATAATTTATCTTATTATTTAATATGGATAGAAGTTATTCAGATTATATTGATATAATAGATGAAGTAGAGAATATAGAACAAGTAATAATAACTGACAATAAAATTAAGAAATGCTGTTATTATACATTAGAATTAATAAAATTAGGAATACAATATATCAAAGATAAAAATGTAAATATTAATATAAATGGGAAAAAAGAAAAACAAAAAGAATAAAACGGATACTACAGTTTCTTCAACAGATGAAGACAAAGAAGAAGAAATTGTTAAGGAAACAGCACTAACCGAGTTTGAGTGTCCTATGTGTAAAAAGATGTTAGAAATGAAAAATGAAATAGAAATACAAAAGAAAGGAAATTGTAAATGTTCGTGTATTCCGACAAATTTCAAGTTGAGTAAAAACGATAAGAAAATGAATATTGATAAAACCAAAGACAGTATAAATCTGGAAACGGATGTTCATAATATAACTTTTAAATGGGGGAGGCATGCGTCGCCATCCGATAATGGTGATAACGAAGCACAGGAAACTATTAAACAAATGATGAAAATTTAGTACTTAAAGAGTAGATTTTACATTAAATCAATTTTATAAATAAATATATATTTAAATAAATAATTATATAAATAAATATGTATAGAAATGTCTGAAGTTGAAAATGATGTTATTGTTGAACTATCAAAGAAGATAATGACAGTTAGTAAAAATGTTAAACTGTTGTACGAGATGATAAAAACTATTGACCAGAAACTTGATGCAAAGGCAAACGAACCAAAAAATAACAATGAAGAGAAGGAAAAGATTGATAAGATCTTTGAAAAGAAAGGGATAGGCAGACCCAGCGGTGATTATGACACGAAGCGTAAAAAATATTGCGATATGTTAAATAAGGGGCAAATCAAAAGTCCAAAAGAACAAACATTAGAATATTATAAACTAATTAAGGGCGATGATGGTAAATATGTAATTGTTAAAATTAAAATATAAATCATTCTAATAATATGAATTTATTAGAATTATTTAGTGGAACTGGAAGTGTAGGAACCATAGCAAAGTCACTCGGTTATAATGTCATCTCATTAGGCTTGAAAAATGCTGATATTAATTGCGATAGTTTGGAATGGGATTATAGGCAGTTTGACAGAAGCCATTTTGATTTTATTTGGAGCAGTCCCCCGTGCACTGAATATAGTGTAGCAAAAACTAGGGGAATTAGGAATATTGAATATGCTAATAGTATTGTCTTGAAAACTATTGAGATTATCAAATATTTCAATCCAAAATATTTTGTGATCGAAAATCCTCAAACTGGATTATTAAAAAATCAGGAGTTTATGAATGAACTTGACTATTTTGATATTGATTATTGTAAATATGGTTTTAAATACAGGAAGCGCACGAGGTTATGGACGAATATTACTACTTGGACGCCACGCACATTATGCCAACGAGACTGTGGGAGCATCAGGAACGGCAAGCATGTGGAGACGGCACAGCGACTACCAAGCGGAAAGAAGGCGGACTGGGGCGACTACTACATCATGCACAAGCAGGACGAATTATATAAAATACCAAGTGAGTTGATATTAGAAATCCTAACGGCGATACAGACGAGGCGATACGGTGAGGCGGAATAGGGCGATGCCCTTGATTTATAACATCAATTTTATAATATGTTCATTTTATATTATATTCCCCTTTTTTCCACCAGCTCAGCTTGTCGTGCAGCACAATGCCTTCATTGCCTTCATTGCCTTCATCGTCTTCTGGCATTCAATGCCTATGATGTTGTGTTTGTTTTCTTTGGGCGACCTCGGGACTTCTTACCACTGTCGCCCCCCATAGGGTCATCATCTCCACCGCCGCCGCCTACGTCATCATCACCATCAACACCTCCCATCTTCGGCTGTTGATGTCCCCCTGCTTGTTGGTGGGTTGCGGTGGGCACGGTCCTTAATCTCGTCTGTGATTGCCTTGATGTAGCGCTCCCAAAACATATTGTTACCACCACCGTCGGAAAACTCTGAAAGAAGCACAGCATCAGTAGCAGACACGAGCGCCTCTTTGGCGAGTTTCAACTGCTGTGTGGCATCCGTGATTTGCTTGTAGCGCTCCTTGAAAAGCACATTGGCAATCTTCTGCGAAATCACATGTGTGTTGTTGGTGGCGCCTCCACGAGCATTCAGCAAAGACTGTAAATCTTTGTCCATCACACTCTCTATCATCCCGCTGAACAGGTGCTCATTGCCTCCATCAATCTGCAAACGGATTTGCTGAAAGTCGCCCTGAAGCAATCCAACTACAGCACTAGATACCCCCATACTGGAAACGCGATTGTCATAGGATTTGAGATTCTCAATGCGCTCATCCATCCTTGATGGTTCAAGTTCATCTGCCGTTCGCTTTTGACCACGCTTGCCCCCACCTTCTTGAACAAGAATAGCACGACCACTGTGTGTGTCACCTGCTTCACTGATGTTGTCATCACTGCTATGTGCGAGCATATCCAGCAGATTTTGTGTTTCATCTTCAACCTTCGGGAGTGCCAAAAAGAAACAAAAACATCAACTAACAACACACTATTGGCTACAACACTCCCCTTTTTCAAACCCCAGTCCTTCCACACCTGCTGGTCTTTCGCAATGCCAGACACACTATGGATTTTGGACTTCACGGCGTCAATGGTGTCGCTGGTCGCAACCTCCAACGTGATGTTCGTCTCATTCAGAGGATAGATAAGGATTTCTGCCATAGCAAGGTGCGCACTACACTGAACCGCTGAGGGGCGGGATTGCCTAAATCCCATTTGAGAAGAAAACAACGACAAACATACACCATCAATCAACTCTCGCAGCATGCCCAACACGAACAAAAACGAATGAACATAACCTTGCCCGTCTTCCCACATGTGATATTCCCCAAAAAATATTACACAAAGCAAAAACGAATGAGCCAGACCTTGCCCATAATATGTCTACAAAATTTGTGATAAAATTTATTGTAAAATAATTTATCATAATTTTTGGAATAATATTTTTTGAAAATTTTGTAAAATTATATTTTGTAAAATTATATTATTATTATTTTAAAATTTATATTTTTTGAAAATTTATTTTGTAAAGTTTTGTAAAATCTATTTTTTAAAATTTATATTTTAAAATATGGATGAATTTACTAGGAAATTGCCTGCTTTGAAATGTTGATTTTTGAAAATGTGCTTTTTGAGGTGCTGTTTTAAAATGTTGCTAAAAGTGTGGGGAGGACCCTAGGTTTTTATAGAAAAAAGATGGGCAAGGTCTGGTCTAACTCCTTTCTCCCAGTTCTGCACATTCGAGGATGCGGTGGTTGTGCGTGTCATCAGCATCTTTGCAAAAAGGGCACACAAGGTTGTCGGCAGTCTGGAAGTGCTTCCTGACTGCACTGTCGGGGAAAGCACCACAGGTGGCAAGGCGGATGTAGTGGTCGGCCCTAGTGTCGTCCTTCGACCACAGTTTTGCGGCGCCATCCAAGCTGAAAGGAGGTGTATTCTGCCATGCTTTCCTTTTGACGATGGCGTTATAAACCCGAGTTTCCCAAGCATGGAGCATGAGTGCTCGCACATCTGCAAAGTCGCAAGTCCGCAAATTTACTTGCCGATTGCAAAACCCGAGGACACCATCAGCTGGGTAGTGGAGCCCCCAAGTCCAGGCCAAAACCGCCAAACAATACGCAGGTCCCCGTCGCATAGATTTGGCCTTGCCGGCCGGGATGAGTGCAACTGCCCGCTGCCATATATTGTCCGCCCAAATGGAATCATAATGGAAAATGTTCAAGAGAGTGCGCATGAGTCTGATGGCCTGCAGGAATTCCGGGTCGACAATCTGAGAGTTGTACATGCTACATACCACCCAGCCACACAATTGCTTTTTGTTGCCTAGGAGAGCCCTTGCAAAAGTCTGCCGAAGATCGCGCAACTGCTTTTCATTCAAAGGGACAGTCTCCGTTCCGTACAAAAAAGTGGGTGCTGCAGCCGTAAGTAACATGCGAATCTTGTCTGCAATACTCAATGGCAACCGTCCCAACCTTTCCGCCGCGAACTTGGCCTTTACGACCCGAGCATTTTGCGGATATTTGACATCCTTCCTGGTGTAATTCATCGCAGCGCCCAAGTCGATCTGATCATGGACAACCCGAAAATGGGGCTGGCCGGTTATCGCGGTGCCGGTATCAGCATAAAACTGTAGGGCTTTTCGCAAGTCGGCCGTTGTGCCCCAGGCCCAACACTTGGTGTATTGAACGGCGAGGGTCCAATCAAGCATGAACTGCCTGGATGTTTTCCACGCCCGAACCAAATCCTGAATGGAATTTGCGGTAAATTCAAGGTTGTCGATCAAAACATACGGTTGTACTCCCTGCGCATGGACCACCACATACCACAAGTAGCCCAGGGCGACAATTGCAGCAACTGAAAGAGGGTCTCCTTCGGCACATCCTGTAGTGGAAGGGCGAAAAGGGCCCGGCTCCCGATTGACAATGAGCGTTCTGGTAGATGCAGAAAGCCAGGTTCGCCAAGTGCGCACGATGTGCTCAGGCGTACCCAGTTTCTGTAACATGTATAGCAATGGCTGTCTCGGCAGGGTATTAAAACATTTGAGGAGGTCCAGGCAGGATCCCGCCCTCGGACGTGCATTGTGTAGGGCGTCGTCGACCTCGTGTTGGATCCTCAACCAGATCATTTCCGAGCTCCTGCCGGGAACCCCACCTATGATCTGCTTTGGCATCCATGTGGAGAAGGTGTCGAGGAGTTGCCTGGTCACGACCTTGCAGAAAAGTCGATATAGGAGCGGGAACACAGTGATAGGGCGGGTATCGGAAACCCCCGGGTTATCTGTCTTAGGCAGTAGGACCGTGCGAGACTGTGTGAACCAGTCCGGCCACTGATTGGCTTGGACGCAATCCTGAATAATGCTCACAAGGTGTTGCCAAGCTTGCTGGGGTAAAAGAGAAAGCTCTGTTTTATTCCAGCCGCACATGCCCTTGCTGCTTTTAGCCGGTGTGCCGCGAAGGGCCTCCTGCCAGACGGAAACATTGGCTAAGTCGATATCAACCGGGTTCCGCTGTTCTGCCCATGCGTCAACCATCTGCTTGGCGGCAAGCCATTGGTCATCTTCAACCTGTTGGAGGGGCGGATCTCGCTGCCAAAACTGATTCCACAAACCCAGCAATCTGCTCTTCAACCTGCTCAGTAGCTGTAACCCAGGTGGTCCAGACAAGTGTGCCGCGAGGCGGAAGCTGTCCTGAGGTTGGGATGCAAACAAGACAATGTCGCTCATGGCCAACAACCTGTGCTCTGGCATTGTCAACCCTCACAATGGCGTCCAGGGGTATGCACTCCGGATGCTCAACCATGAGCCGGAGATGGCCCTTGTGATGGGCTCGCTGCATCTGATATGGGACTGATTCATGAAGGTCAAGGTGTGTAATCGGTGGTCTGGAGGGTGGCTGCAAGAGGTGATACACAAGAGATCCACCATGTTGGTTGAGGTTGTGAGTCACCGTCTCCTTGAACATGTGCTGGGATCGAGTGCGCTGAATCTGTACCACCTCTTGAGCATGCAGTTTGACAGTTTCAATGATTGTGTCAAGCCAGCTGTTTACGGGCCATTCCCAAGGACGGGCCGGAAGCGAGGCTCCAGAATGCCAGTGAATCCATTCGGAGAAGTGTCTACCAAATCCTGGAGCCCTCAATATGGAAGTGCTGGGGCGTAGTTGGCTGGCGTTGTTACAAGGATTGGAGTGTCTTGTGCAGCGATTCAAGCCGTCGAACTTGCCTGACAATATGAACATAATGAAAGGAGCGCATATCAATCTCGGGCTCAAACTGTCCATTGCCTGCCGGTTTGGGGATGGGTGGGCACATCAAATTGGCGATGTGGGCTCCCTGACAGCGTCCCTTTTGCCGTTTGCGTAAAGGCTCCGCATGCTGATTACAAGCCCAGCTGACCGAGTGTTCGACCATTTGTGCCCAGGCACCGAGGCGGTCGCCCGCCGGTAAGCTCTGGACCGTCTCCCACCGCTCAGTTGCACAGGCAGAGTATGCAGATTCCAAAAGCGGCTCTGCATGGCTCGGCACGTTCCACCCACTAGGTAGTTGCAATCGCTTGGTGAGGATGGCATTGTTCGGGAACTCAAGTTCAACCTTGAAGGGTTTGTGACGGTCAAATGCATGAGCGGTGAGCACCCCTGTTTGTCGAACCAACGGTACAAGTTGAGGTGAAACCAAGATAGTGTCATTCCAGGTAGAATCATCGCATGTGGGGCTGACTGTGTCCGGCGCATGTTCTCTGGCCCGCTGGAGCAAGTCCACATATCCAAACATCTGCAAATCATTCCATGCCGTCAACGGACGCAGACCCCCGTTGAAATCCCCAGCAAGCAAAACAGGGCCTCGAGATTGTCTGGCGCGTTGCGCAGCATAACCAAAAAGGGCCTGGTTGATATTGTCTGCTCCTGTGCCTGGGGAGTGTGGGGCCAAGTACAAGCCAATGATCAAGACGTCCAGATCGCCAATTCGAACCCAGCGTTCCAAGTATCGGCAAGTTGCCTCCCAAATAGGATCTTGTTCGGTGTAGCTACGCCGTATAGGGAGTTTGGAAAAACAGGAAACGCCAATGCTTTTCCCCCTCACAGGGTTTGCGCGCACAGTTTCTCCAGTGAGAGGTGGAACCGCGTGTGTCCAGGTGGTTGTGTACCCCAGTTTGTTCCACCGCCTGGTTTCGATGTGTTGCACTTCAGCTGTAGCGGAGGTCTCAGCACAAATAAGAACATCGCAGTTCAGTTGTGAAAGCACTTCGCTCTTGCCGTGCACCGCTGTCGGGTTGACAATACCAAAGGAGACGCGAGGACCGGGGTTTTTGGCTTGTCCAACACAGGTATCACTCAAATACGACCAACTCGAAGGGCAATCGTTGAACCAAAGTTGGAAACATGTCAAGAGAAGGATCCAACTCAAGACAGAGTTTGAATTCGAAAAATAGCCAAAATAGACATGCAATACTATTGACCCAGCATCAGCAAAAAGATTGAGTCCCTGCGCATGTCTGCTCTCAACGCAAGCAAATTCACGCAAACAGTGTAAGGTCTTTTGGTCATGGTCTCGAACTCGCTCGTGCGTGGAGATCCTAGTGCTCCAGCCTAAGAGGGCGTGTTCGCAACGGAATGGTGGGCAAAAGTGGCCTGCGAGGCAGGCCCAATGTAGCGGAAATCTGAATTCAGTAAGGGCAGCTCGCAACGTGCTGCACACATA